CCATTATTTTAAGAACGAAGGTTGTACAAATTTAATGTACTTTGATTTCAAATTCAGTGTGTATTTAGCTCTCTTTAATTAGTTCATGTATTAGTTAGAATATATAAAAAAAAATCATGTTGGCCAGTTCTCTTTTAAATATACAATAAGCTTTTACAATTCAATGGATTTAATACAGTATTTAAATACATATAAATTTGGAATTCAATGCATATCTCAGTTCTATTACAAATAAGCTAATGTATTAAATTTGATATTGTATTTCTCTATTGAAAAGTGACTTTAATTACTCTATATTGTTTGTCATTTATATTTCTCTTTTGGAAGTTGACTTGAATGAATCTAGGATTGACTGCACGGTTTCTCCCAAACTTTTTTCATTCCTACCGAATCCCCCCATACTTTAGACCTTTTTGGATTTCCATCTCAGAAAGTACAGCTCTTCCTAATTCTCCCTGGACTAGTTAATCTCTTCATTTTTTTTCCAAAATCGTGTTTTTGGGTCATTAACCGGTTATTAACCGATAATTGCGTTTACTGTAATTACGTTAGAGTAACCCATTTGATAACACGACTTAACTAAAACCCGAAATCAAACCCTCTAAACGAAACAGAGGGTTCCATTATCTTTTGTTTTTAAGAAAGAAAAAAAAACATCGATCAAAATCTCTCTCAAAAATCAATTTCAGAAAATTGGGGATTAGGGTTCATATTCTTCATCTCTCAAATCGAATTGCAGATTTTTGTTGATAGTGAACGAGATGGAGTAAGTAGCCTCTTCTACTCTCGTTTTTATTGATTTGTGTTGGATCTAGTGTTCATTTTTTTGTTTTTGTTTCAGTCACGGGAAGAACAAAATGGAGCTTGAAGAGAGTGATACAGATGACGCCYAGTACAACGCYTCTYACGAAGAGGAGGAAGACGAATCAGAAGACGAGTCTGAAAGTGGGTCTGATAGTGATGAGGGTACAGAGGAAGAAGATGGTGACGAGAGTGCAGAGGAAGAAGATGGTGACGAAGGTACAAAGATTGGTGACAAGGAAGAGAACGAGGAGATGGAAAATGAAGGTGCAAGAGAGGCTGATGACTTCGACAATGTGGAGGTATGTAATAATGAG